ATAGATAGATAGATAGATAGATAGATAGATAGATAGATAGATAGATAGATAGATAGATAGATAGATGTGTGTGTGTGTGTGTGTGTGTGTGATATCACAAACCTATGGCAAACTTGCAGTTATGCATATTTGTACAATATACATAACTGTGTCTGTTACATGTCACTATGTAGTTTGTAAATGTATCATAGACAGCAATGGTAATAATCTTTTCTTTACAAATGACACAAGTGAGATTTGTTTTAAATAATGAACTATTTCCAAGTAATTTTAGGACCAGATACAGGTTATTCATTACTGTAGTAAACAAGAATATCAGGTTAACTAGTCTAGAATGAATAATGCTTCAAGATACCTAATAAAGTGAGTTTACTTTCCAGATGTTGTGCTGCTTCCATTAATAGTTCATCTCTGTTGTCAATAGCTGTTTCTGCCTCATGACGAAAGTTGAGCCATTTTTGAAACTCATCTTCACTTAAAACCTGCCACGGTATAAATTCAACATGTTAGTGAAAATATTGAATCCCTGCCCTTAGGCTCACAGGGGTCAACATCTCTAACCTGATTCAGTCATTAGAACATTTGCTGTATCAACTGCAATGCCAATACAGTATCACTAACCATGATAGGCTATGAATGTAAAGATAGTGTTACTTCAGAATTACAAGTAGAGTCAGGTAGCAGTTAATGCACAAAGTTAGTAGCATTACAAATACACAGCCTGGTCCAATAGATTTCATGAAGTATTATGTCCTAAAAACTCAGTGATGTTGATTTTCAAGCAAATATGGTTATGCTTTATTATAGTAAGAATTCTAGGAAGACAGTGAAATTCTAGTGAACATACCTTTCAAATAAAGCATTTTTGTCAGGGAAACAGTGTGACTTAAGAGACAAGCTACAGGTGGTGAAGGCCAGTATCTAAGCTGACAGCCAAGAATTTGAAGTGTTATTCTGTCTTCAGAGCCATCTATATGAAATGACGTCTGAGGATTCTCAGGGGATAAAGCAAAGGGTGAGATCCTGTGTTTTGAATCATGATCAGAGCCAGCCTAAGAACGTGCTGCCTAAAATGAAGGTTCAGATGCCCTTGGGAAGTCCATGAACACAAGACTAGAAATGGAATGATTTCAGCACTGATTCATTGCACCTGAGGGTCCCCCAGTCATGAATGGCATGCACGTTAGGTGATATGGTATAGAGCAGGGTTTCTCAACCTTGGCAACTTTAAGACATGTGGACTTCAACTCCCAGAATTCCCCA